TTCTTTATTTTGATATCCGTGTGTCCGGACCAGCTTGCGCGTACCTCGGCTATTCACGGGCCAACCGCCTAACCCTACTACATTTGATTAACAAGGAAACTTGTAGGATATTAAATCCTAGGTAGGTTCCACCATGGTTTGAACTCAATCCCTCTAAATCTGAAAATCATAGGATATTAAATCCTAAGTAGGTGGCCACCATGATTTGAACCAAATCCCTCTAAGTCCTTTGCTATTTACATTGGCCCTCATTGACACTTCAGCCATCCCATGATGGTTTGTTCTTATATATATATATATATATATATATGAAACAAAAACAGCCTAAAAGTTGGGTAGAGGAAACCCCACTAAAGAAGCTAACAAGTAATAGTCCTTCCATCACTAATGATCCTGTAATTGCAAAAGAATTTAGGATGACTTGAACACCTCCACGACACCTTGTGCTTGACACCATTACAAAAAGAATCAAAAGAAGAATTCTTATCTTTGAAGATCCAATGGTTTTTAGCTGTAAGTTGTATTAACTATGAGTTTGTTGGAGTAATTAGTTGTATGACCTGTACATGAGTTGGTTACAAACCATTGTTTATTTAAAGAACCTGGTTTTCATGTATTTAGTGCTAGAGTTCAATATACAAATTTTATTAAATTAAGTTTTGGTTTAATTATGTCTGGCAGTAACACTAATAAGTGAGTAATGACAATAAGAAAACAGAAAGGAACCGTACTTCAGGCACTGGATCCGCCTTTGGTTCCCAGCTTCATCATAGTTCTTAAAAGCCTCAAAGAAATCAGTAGCTGCTTCTGGCCACTGACGCTCTGCCATATGCATCTTTCCTCCACACTCCCGAATTATTCCCATAATACGTGGATGGGGTATGGCTGACTTTATCGCAAGGGCTTTCTGGTATAATTGCTGCATCACAATAGCACAGACAAGGGGGGAATATTCAAGATAAAAAATAAGGCAATTATATATTAATATGGCCAAAGAAGGATTATATGGGAGTTCAACTAATCATCTGAGATAGAGAGAGATAGCATACCAAGACAAACAACAGTACAGATTATAGCAAGTTCAAAGATGAAAAGCTCTAGGACCCACCAAGAATTACTCACAATCTCAACCCTACTCTTACCAAATTGTAGAAAGAACAAAAGCAAAGGATACTCCGGAGAACAAGAAACCATCTAATCTCGGCCTGTTCCAAGCACAGTTAACAAAGGGGAAGATACTAAAAGAACCCAGATCCCATCTTATGTCATTCTCTTGGTGGTTTTTGTTTGAATGTCAGCCATTCTTCAATCCCTCTATCCAGGAGATGTCTCCTTGGGTGGATGTTCCAACATTATGCCAGGTCTTAACACAGAAGACAAGGTACAGGCATGAAGTCTTAACACCGAAGACAAGGTACAGGCATGAATCCTAATGCTTTTCCTTCTCCAAATAGTGTTTTCGGTGCAAGGAAAGAGAACAAACTGTTAACTGCTTGTTTCTTTTCTGCCGTACCCTCTCCCTTGGGCTTCTAACAAGCTGCTAAAAGAGACCTTTGTTTTGTCCGTGGCTTTCCCTGCTTAGTTTTATATGTCACCAAATTAAGAAAAAAAATTAAAGTTCTCTGGGTAAAGGCTATACTGTTGAAGCAACTATGGGAAATTTGGCTTCAGAGGAATAAAGTTTTAAAGTGGTGGAGAGTGACTCCAACTATGTGCGGGTGATCACTGTTTTTGTTTCCTCTTCTTGGAGATCTTTAATCATTTTGTTGTGATTAAAGTGATTGGAATAAGGCTTTCTGTTGGATTCTTGCCTTGTCCAGTTCACCATTTCAATGAAATTTTCCCATTGGAAAACCAAAAAAGAAAGGGGAGGAAGTAATCAATGAGCACTGCAATTCTTTTACTATGAAACAATCAGCAAGCCCTAAAATCAAGGAGGTGCTATCAACATATAATTACACCATATCATGTAACTACAAATGGAATGCACAAGAAATGACAGAAAATATTACCTTGAGCTTCTTGTTATTTTTAGTCTCAGTATACATTTGAATCTCGATTGCATATACCTCCAGAAGTTGGCTTCCTTTCTTTTGATCGTCTGTGCCATCTTCTCTTTGACAGGACTTATGGAGTTCCTTCAAAATCTAGAGGTGAAAAGAAATTTATTTGATCACTAAACATCCAAATAAGCATTAAACTGTTAAGGATTTTTTTTTTTTTTTTTTTTTGAGGGGGGTGTGGAGAAAGTTACCTTAATCATGCGACCATATTCACCAATATCAAACCAAATCTTGCAGAGTTTTAAATTTGTTTTGAACCAAAGCCTCTACACACCATCATAAGAGAGCAACAGGACATAAGGCATCTTGATTAAGGAATGCAAGAGATGGTAAAATTAGTCAGTAGAATCATTTTCTGACCTCATTCTTTGCCTCTTCAAGAGCCTTCAAGGTGGTTTGATAAAATTCTTGCAAGAGACCAAAGTTTTGACTTGCTGATCCAGATACAAAATCCATGATATTGTTTATGCATTTTTCACTATAATTACGGGTCACTGCTGATTTTATGTATGTAAGCATCACTCGATATGAATCCATCATTTCTTTATACCTCCCCAGTTTATAATAAAGCTTGACAGTTTGCTTCAGAGCCTTGAAGCCCCTGGCAAATACAAAAAATAAAAATAAAAATACAGTCACAAAAGCAGAGCTATTGGTAGAATAGAGAGAGAGAGAAACAGTAATTTCAATTTTCACATAAGTCGAGCATCATTGAATCTAACATCTTGAGGCTTTCAAACCAAGGCATCTGAGAGAAAATAATGAGCTAAAATAAGCTGTGGTGGAGTCATGTATTTCATCCAGAAATTAAAAAATCTAAAGTGCCACATTTTCTATTACAAAGAATCCCGAGCCATTTTCGATCCAGATCAACAAGAAATCAGGTTTCTTTTGATCCAAAGCCTTCCATTTTCAGAAAGTAGATAAATATGGTTCCTGATAAGTTAAACGGCAAACTTGTTTCGAAAATAAGTCCAAAATGAATGAGCGAAGCATAACTGGATAGTGAGCCTCCGTAGAATCCATTTCCATGAATCTAGCAAGCACAAACAAAGAAATCAATACCACACTTACCACTCTGCCTTCTCGGGTTCCATGCGTACCACCTCAGCAAACCCTGCAAGTGCTCCTTCGGAATCCGTTTCAACCAAACCTATTTGTGAAGAAATTAATAGGAGGTAACGATATAACAACTACCAGGAAAAAATAACTCGAAGTAATATAAAGATGAGGCAGTTAAAAGAAATACACATCACGTCTGTGCCTAAGATGGACAGAGAAAAAGATGTTCAAAAGCTCCAGAAGAAAACCAGAGAAGGGTTACATGGGTGTGAGAGCCACTTCTTTCATTCAAAGAAAATATTATAACTTAGATAATTGTATGAATCTAGGGTGCCACATCAATCCTGGCTTTTCAATACAAATAAAGAAATGGGTATCAGCCAAGTGAAGATGAATAGGAGAACAATGAAAGCCTAATAGCTTCCATTATATTTAAGAATTATTCACCGAACTCTGAATGTTAGTTTCTTTCAGTAAATGTATTAAGTGTTTCAGTGACTTTTTTAGCATTTGTCAGAAGTACTTCCTAGCAATATTGAGATTACTTTCCAGAAATTTGTATAAGCCAAATGGAGTGATATTCAAAACTCCCAAGGGATATTTTATCTTACTCTTCTCTATGTTTAAAAGAAGGGAGATAATAGTAGTGCAACAAACAGACAAACCAAACTCCCTGTTCTACATAACCAATGTGTCCACCAAAAAATCTCCAAAACATTGATTCTATGAAACTAGGCTTGAGCTGGAATTGGATCAAATAGCTATCTACACCATGAAAACAAGTATGACAAGAAATAATGTTTTTTTGATGCGCAAGACAGGAAAGAATGCGATTGCAAAGCTTCAAGACAGCATTCAAGGTACCTTTGGAGTTGTAGTATTGATTTTCAATATCAACGTCCTGCTCTTCAGGCTCCTCGTCCGAGTACTCAAAACCATAGTCCTCCATATCCGCATCTGCCATTACAGTTTCAGACACTATTATTTATTACATGAGCAAACTTTTTTCTTATCTGGGTGGTGTTTCAGAGAGAATAAATGAAGAAAAAACAACAAACAAGTGGAATGAAGATAAATTAATTATATTTGCAATTTGCATAAAAAAGGAACACGCGTCACCCCCGTCTAGGACGCAAGAAACCGAGATTCCATAGGAAGAAAGAGAGTATAACAATAATTTAAACCATAAATGATGCAAAGTTCTTCAACCCATTAATTATACTCGCAGAAACGAGCCAGATGAAACAAAGAAAAACGAAATGCAAGGCATTGTAAACACGCCGATTAGCAGGAAGTCGAAAAACTTCCTAAAACCCTAAGCACTGGTAGAATCCAATAAAATAACAAGAGAAACAGCGAACAAGAAGAGAGAGGAGAAGAAGGACCGGAACCCATGGTTGCGAGAGTGAATTGCAAAGTGGAAGGTGGAGGGCGGAGACGTTCGGTGGAAAGTGGCGACTACAGCGATCTAGTGAAGACGGACTTGGGGGATTTTCTCGAAATTAGCGTCTCCGTTCCGTTGCCCACTCACTCTCCCTCCGTTTGGATTTGGAAAACAGACGCCAGTTAGCACCTTCTGCAAAACTAGCCCCTTCCAGTAAAAAGAAAACTCTAGCTAATGCCACTGATCTCCGTGAAAAGACAATAATACCCTTTTAACCTTCATCTATGCTCACGTTAAATTACGGTTTATTCCCCAAATTTTAAACCAGTATTGTTTTTAGTATATTCAGCTAAGTTTATGTCGGTAATTTTAAGATTTAATTTAATAAATTACTCTACTTAAAATGTTGTATGATGTGAACGGTTGGTTTTGTAATGTTTATTTTTTTGCTTTTTTTGAAAGGGTTAATTTTGTATTTTTAAAGTCCTTAAATTTTATAAAGTATTTTATAAATTTTAAATTCTAAATTTTGTGTCCAATAATTTCTTTATTTGAAAAATATTTAATACGTGATCCATTAGACAAATATCATTAAATATACAAATCTACTAAATACATTTTGAATTTTAAATATTTAGACACAACATTCATAATATAGATAGATATGTCTATATTATGCACTTTTAAAAATGTATTAAACATTGTGTTTTAAAGAGGTAATTGTAAATATGACAAAAATATTTTGTAAAATTAGCAAAATAGCAACCACATCTAATTTTGTCAAATATGACACTTTTCATAAAAAATGAAGGTCCAATTTTTAAATGATAATTTACTCAAATGATATATATCTGCATTTGATATAATACAGTGTCTGTACAATATGTATGTGATATATATCTAATATGAGTGTCTCAATATTGCTAGGAAGTACTTCCGACAAAATAAGGATTTTAAAATTGTTTCTATGTTTGAAAATTTAAAAAATAGATGAAATCATCTTTTGAGATGTGTAGAAGATTTTAACTATGCAATTTCCATATTTTAAAGTTAGTATACCAAATTTATAATTCGACAAAAAATGCATGGAATATTGTACAGAATTTATAAAATATATAT